GGCTCGGCTGGAATGGAACTGCATGGAATGGACCGCGCAGCTGGTCGCACAAGAGCGGGGGATAAAAGCCACCTGTTCATAGATCGATCGTTCAAATCAATTCAATCACAACAATAAGCAAGAACCCTTTAAATCTGACAACATCATTCCATCTTCTACGGGACCGTAATGGAACGTTCTGGGCCAAAATGAGGTCGGATTTCGGTGGGGGCTTGGCAGAGTGGCCAACATCCGTGGAGTACGTCACGGAACAACGCGGATAAGTTACTAGCCCCCTCGGGCATGTGGCCACATGATCATTTCTGACCTAAGATCTGATCATGATGATATGTACTGTTCCAGCCACAGGCTCACTATCTGAGTGAGCATTTATACCTCATGGTCGCTTGACCGAGTGGGCTGGAGCCCGGTCCTGACTTAGGTTTACAGCGCAGAGGGTTAGCCCCGGGACCTCGCAGCGCGTTGCTCCGAGATTAAGTCAAAAGTTGTTTTTATTAAGGAGTTCCTTGTGCGAAGATCATCCTTTGATAGGCGCTTGGCTGCTGAGCGAATTGTAAGCAACGATAACTTGCTACCTATTGTTGATCATTGATCAGTTATGGAACTGTTTTTCACTCTTCTTGCCGGTAGCTCTCCGAGGTTGACACACTGATCTTTGCCCATTGTCAGAGATCGTTGACGTGCGGCTCACGGTCACGCGACAAGGGCCTGGACGGTGCCTAGGCGAATTTGAGCCTTGAAGTTAGCTCATCGGCGCTATTTGCGTTCCCGGTCTTCACTGCGCCGGTGTCGCTGCCCCCAGTCGCATCCGGACGGTCGGATACAGAGAAGAGCCGTCTTACTCTTTGGACACTATGCTCAATTCGACGTACGTTGAACTTGTCGCGTGAGCTTGCACCGGCGTCGCCTTCCTCTTCTGATCTCCTGAGCCGAGAAGCGGATGTCGAGAACGCCACACTGTGCTTGACGAAGCTTGTTCTGGCGACCTAGCGGACGTACCCACAAAGCATTGCTATGCAAGCCGTGAGCATGGCCCACATCCTCCCATCTGCTCCACACACAGCTGTGTCAGATGCGGAGCAAACATGCGGAGAGCCTGGGGAACTGGGGAAATTCACAGGGGCTTGACCTTTTCTGCCATGTCTGCTTGCCGGGACAATGCCGACAGTAGCAAAGATCGCTGTCTCCTACCGCGTGCGAATGTTATGCGACAGCAATAAAGTCTCAAGGCCCCGCGTTTCTCAATTTTTGTTTGATCGTCTCTATGGTCTCGGATTCTATCTTGATCCTCAAGACCTCAGCTGTTGCATTTTCATCATCTTACCACACCAGCCATGTCCGACGGCCACAAGATTGACCACGAAATGAGGGAGCACAATGGCCACAACATCGTTGGCAGTGATACGGGGCTTAGTCGTCAGGTTACTGTACAACTCAGCTCCGAGCAGTATGAACGCTTGTTCTTCCAGCCATCAGCGCCTCGACACGGTGACTTTGCAAAGCGATTTGGTACGTTCTGCCAGAAGTCACAGCTATAGAACGTGACACTAACCAATGCGCAGCCAACCCCACACTGCTCGGTCTGATGGGCTTCTTGATCCCCTACACATCAACCATATTCATCCTCTGCGGCTTCCAAGGTGCTGTTGCTCCCCAAAGTCTGGTCGGCTTGAGTGGAGACTACTACTTCTTTGGATGCATCGCCATGAACCTCGCCGGTGTCGCAGAATTTGTTCTGGGTAACAGTCAGTGGTGTGGTCCGTAAAGCTCGATATCTGATCCTAATTCACTCTGCAGCTTTCCCAATGGCGGTCTTCCTCATCTATGGCAGCCACTGGGGCAGTCTGGCGTACACCCAGGACCCTATTCACCAGACCACAGCTCCATTCGCAGAGCTCGGTGGCGCCACCGGTGCGGCCTACAACTCATCACAAGGCTTCCACAACGTCACAATGTAAGTCCACAGTGGATAATGGTCACTTGCCGCGGACACTAACCCATACTGTCAGGGCAATTGCAAGCTTCGTGTTCTTCATGGGTACATTCCGCGTCAACGTTTTCTTCACTCTGATCTTCTTCGGCCTCATCATGCTGTTCTCCTTTATCGCCGCAGCCGACTTCCGAATTCCACATGCCACTACCGCGGCGGACGTGGAGTACATCAACAAGCTGCTGCACATCGGAGGCGGTTTCGGATTTGTCGGTCTCGTCTGCGGTTGGTATCTTGCTATTATAACCGCCTGCGAGGCTGTTGGTATCCCATGTCCACTACCTGTTCTGGACTTGAGCAGCAAAGTGTTTCCCAAAAAAGATGCTATCGTCAACGGCGAATAGACTCTGGATGAATGGAGAAACGACTCGTTTGAACCGACAGGGCCAAATGCATTAACATGCTGTAGACAATCGGCGGGCTCTCGGGAATGGAAAGTCCTGTATGATCGTAAGACAGCAACTAGGCAACGGGGATAGCTGATACCGTGACTGAAGGTGTTGGGACTTGCGCTTGGGCGATTCTCTGAGCATCTGGCGTCCATCCTTTTGTCAATGTACTCAGTTGACGCCTGACCTCGCCATTCAAGGTCAATACAAGAATGTACCTCAAAGTTCAGAAAGTCGACCCACACCCTTGCCCGGGCACAGTTGGCCGCGCTACTACCCACTTCACGGTACCATACCTCTGTATGGAGATTTCTTATTGGGTTTCTCCTACCCTGACTCACTAGGACACGCTTTGAAAATCAATGTTCATGCTTCGTTTGAGTCCCTACGCTTATGGATGTCGGTACGCCACAAATCTCCTGCTTCTTGTCATGCATGTTTGATTCCTGGACATCTCTGAGATGAGATAGGAATGAATATGTACATGAGGCCTGCGAGATGGTCCTGATAATACCGCGTTGGTTCTCAGGACTATCACCAACAAAGAGGCTCCTGATGCACCATCGCTGCCGGCGGAGAAGGAGGCGAGGTTTCCTAAGTATGTGTTGTATGAGACCCAGTTCGCGGGCTACAATGCTTATCTAGCGCTTTCGTAATCGTAAGTGATACAACTTGGCAGGGTGTTTCTAGTGCTTGAAATTGCGAGCGTCAAGGTATTTCCGCTGAGGTCAAGTGCGAGTATTGATCGTGCCAGAGTCATGTCATGCAAAACGGGTGACTGTGAAGACCAGGAACAAGTGTACCGTTGTCCAGTCGTGAAATTTTCGGGATGTTGAGTTGGGTCCTTAGTGCAGTGGAGTAAAAAGTGCGCATGTGCAGGAAGAATTGAAGGATTGAGCTAAGGTTGTATTGTGTGCAGCTACGAACAGTAGGTATACACGAGTGGTTATAAACAGCGCTAGTGCAGGATAGGTAGTCGCATCTTACCAAAACTGAGGCGCGGTTGCCTGTGAGGCGGGAGAGACTCAAACCCGTGACACATTAGGAATGCGATCCACCGACTTGGCCTCAATCTCTTCAAAAAGTAACTGCTATGGATTTCAAACACGGCGTACGCAATGAGGAACACCATGAGGGCGATTGTGTATTGATATGCTGTCATGTTCGTGGGATGGAGGAGGTTGTCGTGCGTGGTCGACTTGAGCACTTTCGCATTGCCGATATTCGAACGGTCGAGGTAGTAGGTAAAGCAGACATTTTGAGGCTGACAAGGGGATGATCCTGAAGTCTTGCCTCAATATCAGAGCACGTCCATGTCCTTCATCAATGCGGCCCTCTTGATCAGAAGCGAGAATGTTTACTTTCTGCCATCTTGGTCAGCGTCATGATTAGCCTAGGAGACATGTACGGACCTCACGAATGGCAGAGTTTTCGGGGTCTTGGACAAGAGATAGCCTGTGTTTGGTATCCATGACTGCTCGGAAAGGGCATGTCTAGGGCCCGTTTCGTCAAAACCTGGGGAAGTGGCGGGGACGTTGAAGCTTTTTTTTAAGTTGTGCTTGACCCCAGATTTAAGCGGTATAAGAGGAGCGGCGCTTCCTTCGGCAGACACCAGCCGACGTCGGGGTGTCGGCGCAGCAACCCCGCAGTCGGACGCCTTGGCAAGCACGGTTCATCGGCGTGAGAGAGCGAACTTCCGGCCCCGAGCAGTCTCTTCCCACCTCAGACCAGACCATCATCATGGAATCCACAAACACGCAGGCTTGCGATCGTTGCCACCGCCGAAAGACAAGGTGTGACAAAAGAAGACCCACGTGTTCGGGATGTGAGAAGGCAAATGCGCCATGCGCGTACAGCGCCCGACCAAAGGAACCAGTGTATCGGCGCGACTATGTGGAGAGACTCGAGAAGCGTGCTCGACAGCTGGAAAACAACAACCAGGCTCCTGATGAGCGTTTACCGTTTACGAGTCAGGTCCTATCACCTGCAAGTCAAGCTCAAGACGTTGCTGGCACGGCTGATCACCTCCACGAGGCTGCCAACGAAGGATCTCTGCTCTCGACCCACGCTGGGGGTGACCGCCAATTCCCAGGATCAGCAAGCGGACTCCAGCTGGCAAGTCTTGTCAGAGCATCTACTCAGCAGCAGACCGATGCAGTCGGCAGCGCGCAGGAAAGCAGATCGTCGAGAGAGCCTGATTGGAGCACGGATCACAAAGCGCTCCCTCCGCGACAGCTGGCAAAGAGCTTGATAGACGCATATTTGGCCCATGACGCGTTGTGCTACCCCATAGTCCACCCGAAACAGGTCGCTATTGCACTGGAAGCTGCCTACGCGGAGCCACGGTCGAGTAGCCTCAAGCCTTTTCAAGCTTTCACGTTCAACATGATCCTAGCAATAGCGACTGCCCAGGTCTATAAGTTCAACTGGCAGGTGTTACCTGACGCGGAGACTCATCATCAAAGAGCGATGGCTCATATGGAACTGGTCTTGTCCGCCGGAGGTCTTCATGGCTTGCAGGCCATACTTCTGTGCTGTCAGTTCAGACTCAGCAGCTCCACGAAAGACTCATCATCAGGACTATGGCATATGGTGGGCATTGCAACCCGGATGTGCTTCGAATTGGGATTGCACCGTGAATTTACCTACTCATCCCAACACGAGACCGAGCGCAAGAGTGAAGAGACGCACTTGTCCATATCGGAAGTTCTGATGATCTACCGGCAATGCTTCTGGTGCGTGTTCTGCTTGGATCGTGTCGTCAGCATCACTCTTGGGCGGCCTCTTGCTGTTCATCTCGAAGATATAGACGTCAATCTTCCGTTATTGTCGCCGGAAGAAGACGTCCTCTCGCCACAGAGCCATGATAGTGCAGAATCGCTGGGTCTCGCTCCCAGCTATCGAATAGCAGCATTCGCACACACCATTCGTTATCGGGCTTTATGTGGCAAGATGCTCACTTCACTGCATCGCGGCAACGGACTCACCACGTCTTCCCTCAACGAACGCATCTCAAAGCGTAAGGAGCTCGTAGCAGAGCTTGAAGGATGGCGAAGCGATACAGCTGCTCTTCGCCTACCAGACATGGATCTGTCGTCTCCACTTGCTGAAGCTCAATCCATTTTCAGATCCAACGTCTGGTACGAGCTATTGTACCAGAATGGGATCTTGCTCTTGTACCGGCCAGCTCCTTCAAACGCCAGTTCTGAGACCCAAGCAGAGGATGAGAGCGTGCTGAGCATTCATGCCGCAGCCAAGCGATCGATTACGCTCTATGGTTACTTGTTCAAGTCTCGCAAGATCGAATACTCGTGGATCACCTTGCATTCAGTGTTCCTTGCCGGGTTATCATACATCTACGCAGTAGGACAGCACTTGCGAGAGCGGCTGAAGCGACGCAATGGAGTCGGTCGAGGTTCACCGAGACCTCTGCTTCCGCAAGACCGTGAGTATCATTCGCCATCCTCGAGTCTCCTGCCAACCTCTGACTGACACGCCAACAGCTACGATTTTGGACATCGTGAACGACACGCGAGCGTGCTCGAATGTACTACTTGCCGTTGCAGAGCGTTGCAATGCACCGAAAAACAGCCATGAGGTCTTCGATCGCTTGAGCGACGCTGTACTGGCCGATGCTGTCAATCTGTATACCAACTCACCTCAGATGCAACCCGGCTCTCAATGCGCAATTCCCGCTGCAGAAGAAGCTCATCCATCACATCAGTTCCAACCTGCGGGGGTACAATCTTCGGGCCTAGACCCACGTCTTGCAGTGGATATAACTTTGGTTGATTGCATACCAGATCTTAGACTAATGTCTGACACATGTTGGGGACATGATGCTATATATCAGCTGAGCATGAACTGGCTCGATGGTTTGGATGTCACCAACGACTTCGACACAGCTATGAGTGGGCCGGACCTGTCGTACAGCGGCAACGCTTAGTATGGGTAGAGACAGCCACGCTCCAGGAATGGTGTGGGGACTTCGGCCTGCCGACTCCTTAGGTATTTTCCAATACCCTTATCCAACCCATCAAATCGAGCACTGCTAGCAATGCCACCAAAGTCTAGTACGCGACTTGCGGTGTCAGCGTTACTCCAAAAAGAAGGCAGGTGTACTCACGCGACCTGAACCACGGATACACGTCTTCGTGTCTCACAAAAATACTTAAGTTCAAGTTGTCAGCTTTGTCGCCGGACCGTGCATGCACGATACTGCCACGAGGCGATCTCCTGGTCGGGCCGAGTCTATTCAGATCTAGAGGCTCTGCTGTCTTGTACGATGACCGTTGAGCAGGGTCAGACGCGGTCTTCTTGGGAAATGGAAATGATCGTTTTAATCTGCTGAAACACGAGTTGTTGGGACAGGATATCGATGGTCACAATAGCTTGGAACGTCTTATTGAAGGGCCTCGGTTGCATGATAGAGGGGACCAAAGACATGTGGTATTCCAGCCTCTTGTCAGTGTCTCACATGAAGGCCTTGTTGAACGTTTTCTTACCGGGGTTTGACTGCGTGCGCAGTGCATATATGGGTTTCATAAAGTAATCTTGGTTAATATCATCCTTTCAATACGCCTGTGCAGAGGCACGTAGCATCAATGTGCCTTGTTGTTGTGAGGTGATTCAGAGCCTGTGAGCCATACAGCTCAACAATCAGTTTGCTGAGGTTACTGGCTCTGAAAGCATAAGCAATCTACGCTTTTATCATCTCCGCCTTGGCGATCGAATCCAGATCGTTGATGTAGAAGGTCGTGTCAACTTGGAAGCCGCCTCGTGCTGCGAAACCCACTTTTGTAGTTGGCGGTGGAGGTATTCCCCGCGCACCTGAAACGTGCACTTGCTCAGGAACACCTGTCTCCCCTCCACTGTGATACTCCCAAGTCAGCAACTACGTCTGTGTTGAGACACAATCCCCTTTGCAGTTCGTAGAGAAACTGTTTTGCGACTGTCTGCTTTGTCGCTCTCCCTGCCCTATTTGGCACTTTCCTGATCATACAATCTTCCTTGGCTCAAATCTAAGCAATAGGAAAGCCCAGATTAACAAGACCTGCAGTCAATTCTCTGAATCTGGATAAGTTTGCGCCAGATACATAGGGACCGCGTTCAATCAGATATCCTGAACTCAGAGCTCCAACAAGGGTATCGTAATTATTCTCCCTTCTCCGCAATGATTTCGATGCTTTCTTCAAAGCGGTTGAAGAATGCTAAATTTGTAGACGAGGTTTGAATTCTCCTGTTTGATGATGGCGTTTCGAGCTATGTTCATCTCTGACAGCCACTCGCATGCCTGCGTGTGATTGCACCAAAAATCTGACTACTTGCAAGGTGCGATGAAGGGAGCCAGCTTACGATGAAATCCCTGAACGCTCCTTCACTGTTTCCGTGGGGGCTGTTCTCCGTGGCATCAAAAGCATTGCCTATGCATACGGGACGTTTAGAGATCATCCTCGTAATCTTGCTCCAAATCTTGAGTACAGCGATATGGTTTGATCGAAACTTGAGACAGCTTGTGGATGTCACTATCGACTGAATATCTAGCAGGCCCGATTCCACCTAGCCCGCCATCGGCGACCGGCGGCCGACGCCGATTGTTGTTCCCGGGACTCACATCGGCCAGCCCACCCGGCCGCCGCACGATTACCAATCGTTGACAATCACCGGAATCTCCTCCTACGCTTACGAGTCGGTACAGGGGGGAGTCACGTCGGCTCGCACACCTTGAGGTCTTATGAAGCTAAACGGTAGGCTCACGGTTCAAGTAGCTGTACAACAGGAGCCGATCTGGCCACCCCAGGTAGTTCACCGCAACTGCCCCGCTAGACTGGCGACCATAGCGGATCTGGCAAGGCCAAGATGCGGGGTGAAATGTGGGGATGACGTTCTCGGGCGTCATATCGGCCCGTAGACGACATGCCGTAGAGTACGGATACTTGGCGCGTTCAGAGCCTTGATCATTGTCTCCGTCTTGAGCTCCCTATCGTGCTGCACCTTGTATGCACCTTTCTCATGTCTGCAGCGAGATCTGGCACACGGAGCGAATTGTGTCGTCGGCTCGAGTCGAGTCACCGCCGGTGGACTGACAAACACCTCGACGGTGGCCGCCCAGAACATTACCAAGACCAACACTGATTCCTTCTGCCGCGTCATCGGACTCATCCCAGATGGCCCGAACAACAGCCTGAATTTTGGAGTCTAGCTAGCTAAAGGCAAAAGCTGTAATGAGCACTACTTGTCTGCTGATATGTATCATGCGTAACGAAATGATAGCATTGGTTCGGGAGAGCTGACATTATGAAGGCGAGGGCGACTTTTCAGGCTTGATCTATTACGAGGCAATGGTCACGAACTTGGACGTCGGCTTCGCTGTTGGCGGCAGCGTTGCCAACTGGACGTAGTACTGGAACCTACGGCTACGGTGTACTGCAGTAGGCAACAGTAAGCAGCGGTAATTATATTGAGCCGTAGCCATACAGGAAGTAGCTGTAGATTGAGGCGTTGTACGGCAGTACTACGCTAAAATTTAGTGTTTGTTTTAAAGTGCAATTATTGTAAAGCTAGGAATAGAGTCTGTTAGCTCTTTTGTGTTAATGCCTACCTTTACAGCAGTAACGATAGCATTACTTTGTACATTTACTAGTTCAAATTACACTCTAAGCACTTTCTAATTATGTTTGCTCTATAGCTTGTCATGTGCACAGCAATACTGCAGTACTACGCCAATTACGGCTATCTACGCCTACTGTCCGTATGCCACACATGCTACGTAGGTTTCGGGACGCTAAGATTGCCTATTATTGCCGTAGATTACGGCAATTGACCCTTGCTGGTCTTCAAGAACTTGAGCCACGACTACAGGACACTCGAATGCAAGGACGATGCCAAGACTATGGACGAGGCAGCAGGGCCTTTGATTACTGCGGTTTCCCCACGACTGGATGCGTTCAAGGGCAGAGGTGGAAAGCTCATCGTGACATGAGGTAGGTCTAAGAACATCCTGACGGGAAAGAAGTACGAATAACTGACACGAACTAAGGTTGGGCTGACCCATTCAACGCGCCCACTTGGCCAATCGATCAACACAACGAGGCAAATGCCATATGTGGCGAAGAACTGCTCAACGAATTCTGACGCTTATTCATGGTGCCTGGAGGAGGTCACTGTGGCCCGGCTACGAGTTATTCACAGATCCCTAGCACGTATCATTCCCTCGAAGCCTTGATCCCCTGGGTAGAGGACGGGATAGCTCCTAGCCACGTCCTCGCTACAAAACCTGCAGATGGAAGCAACACGACACAGAGGCTGTGCCCTTCCCCACAGCGTGCGGTGCTGAAAGGCGAAGCCGCCGGTCAGTATGAGTCGTATGCTTGCATAGATTAACAACATTTACTCATGTCTGGTCCATTGTTCGCATAGATCGACAAGCGTTGCACTATTGCGTTTCTGGGATCGATCGGCACCGCGGATCAGGGTACTGACTACTTGGCCAGCAATCCATTCACATCCGGCAGTCCTGCTGAACGAAGCTTGACGGCGATCCTCCGCATGTAGAGCTCGCAGTACGTACAGTCCTTCCATCCGTCGTTGACAGTCAAGTGCTCGTAACGAAGGGGGCAATTCTCGCCGTCTGATGCGTCCATATCCACTGCCGCGTCTGGCTCCGGCTCGATCAAATCAGAGCCCGTTGCTGGCTCTTCAGGCGGCGCCACGATGTTCTTGTCTCCGTTCTCTCCTGCGGCAGCCTCGTCCTTTATTTTCTTCTCAAGCTTCTTCTTCTGTGACTTCGACAGCCCGGCGAAAGGATCTGGAATCTCGACTCTAGCAACCGCGGTGACAGGAGCGGTACAAAGAGCACCGCCTTGCTCCTCGGCCCTCTCAGAGAGCAAAGCTGCTTCCGCCTCTTCGTCCTTGGCGGTAGCCTCCGCCCTCAAAATCTTCCTCAATGCCATTCTTTCCTTCTTTTTCAATCCTTCGAATGGACCTGTTCGTGCGGCATAGTGATCCATCCAGGACGCGTCTCCCCCCAGAGGATTCAAGTTCGACACAACTAGATGAATTGCACCAAACTCTTGCCCCGATTGAGGCGCGGCATCGTCTGCGGGCACACAGCTCACTTCGTTGGGCGGAGCTTCGATCGCTTGAGATGCGGGCAAGCATTCTTCGACATTCTCGCCGGCAGAACTTCTTGAAAAGACCGTTGGAGCTGGCTCTGGCTGTGGTGCTGGCTCTGGCTGTGGTGCTGGCTCTGGCTGTGGTGCTGGCTCTGGTGCTGGCTCTGGCTGTGGTGCTTTCTCTGGCTGAGGATCACACTGATCCTCACCCACCACCGCCTCTGGCTCTGAAGGCGGTGGTGGAAGTAAAGTTGAATCTTCCATCTGAACAGCACTGCCCTTCTTCTTCTTCTTCTTCTTACCAAGACGCAGTACTGCAGGCCAGCCCCACGGATCCTCTTCCTCCTTGGCTAGCGGAGGCTCAACAATGACTGATGAGCGTTCGATAGGCGCTGCTGGCTGCGATATCACGCCCGGTTTCAACTCCTCCTCCACTTCTGATGAAACCGCTTGTGCTTTGTTCGATAATCCCGGGACTAGTTCCGAGGCTTCAAGCGTCTGGCTCGGTGCTTCTGAACACGCCGCTGGTCCTTCTTCTCCGAGAGCAGCCTTCTTGCCCTTTTTCTTCTTCTTCCATCCGAAATCCACACCGACAGAAGCCAGTGGATCCTCAGTATCCGCACGATCGACTGCCGTCTCGACGACCTCCGTAGAATTGGGGGCAGTCGTCAGTGGGTCTCTGACTGGTGTAGGCTCCATGGCTACTTGTGCAGCAGGTGCAGGCGCCGAACCTGGTTTTGCAGTCGGGAAAATGTCAAAGCAAGCTGCTTCCGCGACGCGCGTTGGCTTCTTCTTCTTCTTCTTCGCCGACCCCAAGGAACCCCAATCATCAGCTATACCATCAGGCTTGAGCGGCGGAGAGGCAGGTCTGTCAGTGAAAGTGGGCAGATCTGATGGCGCCTCTGTTCCTGACGCGCCGACCTCACCCATCGTTGCATCCCTCGTGTTGAGCAAGGCCCCCTGATTAGCCAAGCAGTTCTCCACCTCGGAGACGAGCGTCTTCATTTCTTCAAGGTTATCGCGGTACAGCCTTGCGACGTGCTGTCCTAGGAGTCTTGCCAAATTGAGGTTCTTGATGCCACCGAAGAAGCCGGGACTCGAAAAGATCTCATGGTGCTCGCCAAACGTCTGCTCGGCTTTGCGTAGCACAAGATCCTGCAGCCAGCCAGCATCCTCGTGCAGACATGTCAACGTATCTTTGCCGATTGCATGTGCCGCCTGGACGACGGTGATGTCACCGGCACACCGCTCCGTTTCATGCTTTGCCAGCTCTTGCAGGGCGGTCAGTCCGTACTTTTTAGCAGCGATAAACGCTGCAATGGCTTTCTTGAATTCAGCTCTGGGCTTTTTGGGCGCTTCTTCCTCCGCGTGGTCTGGATGAACAGGAAACGGCTGATAGGTGCGTGTGTGCAGGAAGTGCGCGATGATGTGGCCAGTCTCTGCATCAATGTCGTGCAGCTCAATCCTTCTGTTGTCTGCTCCCGAGCGCCATTGATCGCCGAGTGACTGGAGCAGAATCTCAGGTACAAAGAAGACGAAATTGCCGGCGGCCAACGCAATAGGAGGGCTGGTGTAGGGACTGTGCGAAACGTCGAGACTGTGCGAAACGTCAGGACTGTGCAAAAGGCCAGGACTGTGCGAAACGTCGGGACTGTGCAAAAGGCCAGGACTGCGCAAAAGGCCAGGACTGGACCGTTGAAGAAGTCACGGAGAAGCGAGGGCACTTGCCTTGGCACAGGGACACTGCCTGCTGCAATCGACGACTTTTGTCTCTTTGCCATGATTGTCCTGGGTGGTCACGATGCAACTGCACGTCGCGAGAATGGCAAACATATGTGGCTGGCCCCAATGCTCCAAGAGAATGCACCGCGGCAGGATGACCCACTGAGCGATAGACACGTTGGCAATGGGGGGCCTCTTGCATACAGTACATGACCGCTGGACGACCTCTGCACGTGTGCCGACACGACACGGTGCCTGTGCAGCCGTAAACCCGCGCAACCCCCGCACCCAAATCCTTCAGCCTGATCAACCGCATTGCCTGTTCCTGAACAGCAGAGAGGACACGCAATGACGTGTGGCCTCGTTACTGTCCTCGGCCATTCTGGGTGCGCATGCCAAGCCCACGTTTGCAGCCACAGCGCGTAGGGTGGCACTGAGCGACAGCGACAGCAAACAGCAAACAGCTTGGCGCAGTACATATCGTCCGAGACGGCTCAAGCATGGACTCGCACGATGCGATGAGGTCAAGACGCTGGGCACAGATGTCATACTTTGTAGTCCGCGGCCAAGAGCAGCCAGCGAGTCTAGTGGGAGGGATACGTGACGGCAAGTGCCCATTGCCTGGCCTACGGCGAAGGTGAACAACTGTAGTCCTGCAACGGCGAGGGCGAACTGTAGTCCTGCAACGGCGAGGGTACGTGACTGTGCAGTTTACAAGCGAGGTTGATGGTAGTTTGCACAAGGACTGACGATTGTTTGTTTGTGTGTGAAAGACAAGGCGTGAAAGGCGAGGTGTAAAAGGCGAGGTGTAAAAGGCGAGGTGTAAAAGGCGAGGTGTAAAAGACAAGGCGTAAAAGACAAGGCGTCAAAGACAAGGCGTCAAAGACAAGGCGTCAAAGACAAGGCGTAAAAGACAAGGCGTAAAAGGCAAGGCGTAAAAGACAAGGCGTAAAAGAAAAGGCGTAAAAGACAAGGCGTAAAAGGCGAGGTAGTGGCGGGGCAACATTGAATACGACACGAACAAGTGCAGCAAGGCTAGCAAGGGATATCCACCCAACCAGTACCCTCTACTCCCTCCCGCCGACTCTCCTCTCAAAGTCGTCGTCGAATCTGCTCGCATCGACCACATCAACGCCCTTGCCGAGGCCGACCATGTCGGTGCTCTCCCACCACCTGCTGTCGTGGTGCTCGCTCGCCTTGCCCTTGCCGCGCGGCGCCTCGTCGTCCGTGTCGACCAGGCCGCCGAGGCCCGTGCCGTCGCTGCCGACGACGACGACGGTCTGGCCGACCCACCGCTTCATGTCTTGTACGTTGCGGCCGCCGGCGCCGCTGAGGGCGTCGACGAGGTAGACCAGGTCCGGCGCGAGGTGGCGCAGCATGTGCACGAACCCCGAGGGGGTGGTAAAGGGCATGGCCATGGCGGGGTGCTCGACGAGACGCAGGGCGTGGGCGTGCAGCGTGTTCCACAGCAGCGTGTCGCTGGAGCGCGCCGACAGCGCGGGGGTGTAGACGGGGCGGTCGGGCTGCGGGTCGACCGCGGCCAGGTCGGAGGCGGGGCTGATGGCGCTGTACGAGGAGCCGAGAGGCGAGGCGCGGTCGCGGGAGGCGCTGCGCGACGTCGCCTTGGAGGCGGGGCGCGAGCGCAGGGTCGGCGAGTAGATGAGCACGAAGAGGCGGGTGCGCGCGGGGTCCGTGTCGGGGAGGTGGGAGAGGAGCGTCTGGTAGCGTTAGCTGTAGGCCATGGGGGTGTGTGGCAGAGCAGGCAGGGCAGAGCAGGGCAGAGCAGGGCAGAGCAGGGCAGAGCAGGGCAGAGCAGGGCAGAGTAGGGCGGGCAGGGCAGAGTAGGGCAGAGTAGGGCAGAGCAGGGCAGAGCAGACGCACGGCGTTCTCAGAGCGGTACGAGCCGTCGTCGTCGTCGGGGGCGTCCATCAGCGACTCGGCCGACACGACGAGCACGACCGTCTTGCGCTTGCCGCGGGCGGCGGCGCCGGTGTCGACGGCAGCGCCGGTGTCGACGGCGGCGCTGGTCTGGGCCGCCTGGACGTCGAGGCTGCGGCGGATGGCGGCCTCCTCCGACCAGCGGCTGTGGTCGCCGTACGCGTCGTCCTTGTCCTCCTCGCGGATGCTCGCGAGCGCAGCGCCGGCAGCGGCCCAGCCGGCGGCCGTCTTCTTGCTGACCGTGTCGAAGACCTGCTGCGGGCTGGGCGTGCGGCGGATGACGCCCTGGACGCGGCCCATGAGGTGGTCCTGGGCGCCGACGCCCTGCGACAGTGTGCCGTTGTTGGCGGTGGTGTCGGCGTTGGCGTTGGTGTTGGTGTTGGTGTTGCTGTTGTTACCGTCGCGGTTGGCGTTGGTGTTGCTGCTGCGGTTGCTGCTGCGGTTGCTGCTGCGGTTGCGGCGCCGCGTCTGGCCGTCGCTCTCGTCGCCGTAGCTCAGATGGTCGTCGTCGCTCGACCCGTCCTCGTCGTCGCGGCGTTCGGACCACACCCAGGCTGCGAGGCCGGCCGTCGCGACGGTGACGGTCAGCACCAGGGGCACCCAGTAGCTGTCAACATTAGCCCGGCGTCAACGCTCGGCGCGTTGGCGAGAGCGTACCCAAACGTGGAGCGCGTGCGGGTCGCGGGCTGGCGGCGGTCATAGCGGTCGTAGTTGAAGGACATGGTGCGCGCAGCTCATCGTCCCCGGCGGTGTCGGGCGAGGGCGCTGGTGTGTTGTCGCGCCGTGTTGTGCAGGCTGGGGACGCGGCACGACATGTGGCTGCATGGCTGCCGAGGAAGCGCGGGCGGGACGGGGGACATGACTCGCGGCAGAAACGGTGACTCGGCGGGGCTCTGACACGGACGGCCTCGCATTCCCAGTCCTCTTCCTCTTGCTCTTCTTTTTTCGCTTCCTTTTCCTCTTCTTTTTTCGCTTCCTCTTTCGCTTCCTCTTTCGCCTCCTCTTTCGCCTCCTCTTTCGCTTCCTCTTCGTGTTCTTTTTCCTTTTCGTACTTTGCAGTAGACACTCCCTCCCCGAGACCGACCATCGAGGCTGTGCTGTCGAGACACCGCCATGCCCCACGCGCCGCTGCCCTCGCCGGGCTTCCAGGCGCTCATCCTGTGCGGGCCCGGCGCGTCGCTCAGCACCTTCACGTCGACGCCGCGCGACATGCCCAAGGCGCTGCTGCCCGTCGCGAACCGGCCCATGGTCTGGTATCCGCTGGAGTGGTGCTACCGCATGGGCGTGACCGGTACGAATGCCCGTCCTGCGCTGCTTTGTGCCCGACGCTCCCGCTCACCCGCCCAGACATCACCGTCGTCACGCCGCCCGAGTCGCTCGACGCCATCGAGGCGGCCATGTCGCAGAACCCGCACCTCACCGCCCTGCCCGCGCCGCGCCCCGCCCTGCTCGCGCCGGCCGGCCTGACCCACGAGACGGGCACCGGCGACCTCTTCCGCCTGCCCGACGTCCAGGCCGCCGTCACGGGCGACTTCATCGTGCTGCCGTGCGACCTGGTGTGCGAGCTCGACGGCACCGCGCTGGCCGACGCCTGGATGGTCAGCCAGGCCGGGTTCCCCGGCGCTGTCGCCGGCGAGCATGCGGCTGGCCGCAGGACGGCGTCTGGCCCCGGCGGTGAGCGGCTCGGGCGCCGCGGCGGCCTCGGCGTGTGGTACCAGACCAGGGGCGAGGGCAGCAGCAAGCGCGACGAGACGGACCTGATTGCGACGGCGCCCATGCCGCCGCCCACGGTGCCCGCGCCCGTCGGCTCGATCCGCCGCGACATGGCCAACCTCGTCTACTCGGTGCCCACCGACACGCTCAACGACATCACCGACGCCCACAAGACGCTGCCCATGCGCCACTCGCTCATGCGCAAGCACGCCCGCGTGCGTCTGCTGACCACCCACCGCGACGCCCACCTCTACCTGTTCCCCTACTGGGTCGCCGAGATGATGCGCAACAACGACGCCCTCGAGAACATTAGCGAGGACGTGCTGGGCTGGTGGGCAAAGGCCGGCTGGCAGGACGGCCTGGCCGACAAGCTCGGCCTGCGCGACATCTTCCAGGGCGCCGACGACGCCAGCTCCGAGGGCTCGCAGGTCGCCGACGAGGAAATCGACGTGTCCCGGTACAGCAGCACCTGCGCGCCCGGCGCCGCAAACGGGGCCGCAAACGGGGCCGCAAACGGGGCCGGCGCGCCCTCGATCCTCGCCTCGCGCGTCCTCGGCTCGTCCGCCATACCCGCGAGCGCAAAGGCGCTCGCCGCACGGCCCAAGCTCACCGTCCCGCCCATGCTCGCCTACGTCCAGCCCGCGACGCCCACCGCCCCGCTCATCCGCCGCGTCGACACGGCCCACCTGCTGCTCACCGTGTCGCTGCGCCTCGCCAAGCTGCCCGAGAACAGCAGCTCGCCGTTTGGGTTTGCGAGCAAAATCGCGCCGTCGACGGCCCACTCGATGCCCAAAAAGTGCCGCGTCGAAGCCGACAACAGCCTGCTGGCCGACAACGTCGACGTGGCCGAGAAGACCAACATCAAGGAGTCCGTCATCGGCTCCAACTGCCGCATCCGCGAGGGCGCCCGCCTGCTGCGCTGCCTGCTCATGGACGGCGTCGACGTCGGCGCCAACGTCCAGCTCACCGACTGCATCCTGGGGCGCCGCTGCAGGATCGAGGGCGGCAGCGCGAGGGACGACGACAAGACGGTGCTCAAGGACTGCGAGGTCCAGGACGGCCAGGTCGTCGAGTGGGGCACCGAGAGCAAGGGCGAAAAGTTTATGCGCTTCAGCGAGGAGGGCGAGTTTGGCGGCCATGAGGGGGCCGCGGGTGAGGTGGAGGTGTAGCGCGGGTGGAGGTGTGGCGGGAGCAGGCGAGTGAATGTGTAGAGCGAGTAGGCGAGACAATGATACCCAAGCGACCTCGAGCTCAGCGGAGCGTTGGAATAAGTCGTCGACTAGTTGTCGACCAGTTGTCGACTAGTTGTCGACCAGTCGTTGACCAGTTGTTGACCAGTCGTCAACCAGTTGTTGACCAGTCGTTGACCACTTCCCCGCACGCTTTCTAGCCACCCTGCGGCTGGCTTCCTTGAACCAACAGTCCCCCACCGTCCTCGGGCTCTGCTCAAGCTACCCCACACGACGCGCCGCAACAGCCCTGTTGAACCGAGCTCTACTTCACCCACCGAATTGAATCGAACAGAACAGAACAGGACGTGACAGAATTGAACTGCCAGCAGCTAACAACACCAACGATAACACCGGCAACACCAGCAACACCAATACCACCAACACCGACAACACCGACAACACCGACAACACCAGCAACACCGACAACACCGACAACACCAGCAACACCAACAGCACCAACAACACCAGCAACACCAACAACACCAGCAACACCAACAACACCAACAACACCAACAACACCAACAACAACAACACCACCAACAACACCAACAACACCACCATTCTCCGCTGCAACCGCTCGGTTTCACGGCGTATATCTAGTGTTCGTAAGAGAAAGTCGAGATCGATCTGGCTCCAAGACAACGTCATTACGGCTTATCAGCTACCAACGCGCGGAAAGCGGAAACTGGGGGGGGATGTATTGTGTCGATATCAGACGAGACGGGACAATGTTTGGTAAATGGCTGTTGGGGTGGATGGATGCATTGTCCTAGTATGCGGATCCAGCCGCAGATGAAAAACGCGGTAGGTATTCTAGAAAACAACGGTGCGCTACGTCGAAATCAAAGACCGCTACGTCGAAGACCGTTACCACGATACTCCGAGTCCCTTATCCACACATACAGACCACCGTCTCTGCATCCCCACGGAAACTTGCAGTGAATACTATCCCAGACGGCTCAGACAATGGCGGGCGCAGCGTGGCTCGCTGACAAGGCGCCCGTGGTTTATGGATGGGGTTGCTGCGCACGCTTAATGAATTGTCTACCAAGCAGGTCGTTGGTGAAGTCTACAAGCACAGCAGACCGCTCCAGTAGCAACCTTTCCGTAGCAACCTTTCCGTCGCAACCTTTCCGTAGCAACCTTTCCGTAGCAACCTCCCCGTCGCAACCTTCCCGTCGCAACCTCCCCGTAGCAACCTCCTGACTCCAGCCGTCCGGCGTCGCCACGAACGTATCGGCCTGCCAGTTGGAGGCGTGTCAGTGGTGTAAATGCTCTCGGTGCCACGCACGCGCTCCCGATCTTCCGCCGCACAACCCTATGGTGGTGTGGTGAAGGAGGCCTGCGTCACTTTTGCACTGCGGGCACGAAGGCAGGCCAAACACCATGTGTGAATAATAGTTTACGAGCGCGCCCGACGACACATCGAGCTCGACAACCGCCAGCTTCTCACAGATGAAACTTCTCAAACTGATCCATGAGCGTCGCAACCCTGCCGCTGCTCACCTGCTTGTACTGCATCAGCCTCGGTCGCTTCGGCGCCGTGCCCACATCGCGCTCCTCGCTCACCCGCTTCTCGGCCCACGACACCGCCGCCGTTCGACTCCTACCCGAACAGTACGTTGTCGATATCGGCGAGAGCGAGAGCGACTGCGTCTGCGCCACTACTGCTTCGGCAACAGTCGAGCCGGACATGCTGCGCAAGCGATCGTGGCGCGGGCCCGTCTTCGGTGTCGCGGGGACAGTGGACTCGGAGAGCTCGATGGAAGGGATCGGTGAGTCGGGCTCGCACTTGTCGAGGTCCGCGAGCAGCGCCAGCCGGCATTGCACGAGCGTGATCAGGATGGCGGCCATGGCGACGACCTTGTCCTCCGTGGACTCCAATGACTGGAGTTGGCTGGCGAGACGCGCAATGTCCTGGCTGCTGAGCTTGAGCACGGGAGCGGGACTGCACGCGATGAGCGCGCTGGCGCCGGAGGGCTCGTCTTCGTAGCTACGCGCTGTGCGTAATCGTGCTGCGCCGCTACTAGCAACGGGACAGGTTTCCTCTTCTAGGTGGACATGGGCGTGGTATTGCTGCATGCATGCTTTCTGACAAGCTGCGTTGTCGGTGGGAGATATCCTGGACGCTCGCCGACTGCTGCGATAGATAGGCGTGCTTCGTGGTTCCCCCTCGGCGCAATGCATCTGCTCCAGCTGGGCATTCGCTCTCCTCAGTGCCTGCGTGATGGCTGGTGAAATCCCTGTCTTGTCGCTCCTGGACAGGTGGTAGGGATGTCGCGAGAGTACAAGCGTCAGCCAGCCATACTCGCTCGACAGCCCAAGAACAGTCCGATGAGCCGGTCTCAGATCGATGGTTTCGAAATCACCAACGTGCGGCAAGAGGTCCTTGTCGTCTATGGAGGGGTCCGCATGCTCCCGGATCGAAGTGAAGGTCCATGGCTGGAAGTTGGTGATTGAGCTGGATATGAAATGCAAAAGTTCGTGCGGCAGCGACAAAAGAGGAGAGATTGAGTTCCGGAGCAGCGGGCGTTCGTTTTCGGTGGGCATTGTCACTTCAACGGCGTTGTGCATGATTAGGTGGAAAATTCGAAATGTACAGAACGTTGATGTTTGCATCAAAAGGTCTCCACGTGCTACATTCCTGGCTGACACATGCTCTGCACCGAGCAGTGGCGGCGCCTACATGACGTTGACGATGATATAAGGGTTCAAAAAGGTCTGGTTGACTAGATCGCGGGGCTTTGTTAGTTGCAGGTGTAGTGTCAAGATTGGCACGATGCGGAGCTTATGGGCTTGGTACAGGTGCCTGAGCCCGAGTGTTCCAGACAGCTGGAAGATCCGTTCATTTGCTCGACTGCTCCCTGTGTTGCTGATGTTAAGGTAAGAAGACTGAACCGCGCAGGCGTCAATGATGAAGCGAGGCGCGACAGCGCTAACACGGAAAGTGGGTCCTTTAACGCTACCGGTACGGCGGTACCTAGCCCGATCTCACATCTTGCAGATCATGACGACCGCTGCTTTGCGACACCATACATCACCCGGGAAGATCATCGAGACAACAACAGAGCTTGCGATGATTATGGTAGCTACCACGACCCGCATCTTCACGTGCATCTTCACGTGCATCTTCACGTGCATCTTCCGACACTGCGCGATGCCGAACGCTACTCTTCAACTAAGCGAACATGACCTCCGCGACGAGTCGAAGCTTCAAACGAATTGTTTGATGGATGCCAACACCAGTCGCGACGGTCAGAGATCTCAAATTTCAGGACGCATCCAGGCTTCAAGCGCTGACTTTAGGATGTGAACGTGAAGAGCCTGCTATACATGGAAAGGACAAAGGACACTCTACGGCTTCGTAACAGCCGCACAAAGGCGAGATTTGAACGAACATGCATATTGACTGGTGTATCCTCGTGCGCCAGGGCGCCAATTTCCAGCCACCCTGTTGTCAGTCAGTGGTAATGATTCAGCTGGGAGGCGCTCAACTTACCGAACACTCTTAAGCAATCGAAAGTTTCCCAATACGACGACCGACCTTGCCCATGGTGCCAGTCGTAGCCAATAGATTTTTGTGCGTCTCCTCCTTGCATAGTTCCTTGAACACGCGGTAGATCTCCTCAGCCTCTACCGTGCCTTCGTTGCAGAAATCGAACTGCGCCAGGAACGTGGCGAGCTAGGTGGTGCCTAGTACCGTGGTGTACGGCAGGATCTTGCTAGTGAGGACGGAGGTGGCAGTGCACGATGGCGGTGGAGCTGGTAGGTCGAGCTTCCGCCGCTCGGCCCTGACAAGGATCAGAAAGGCAGTGACTAGCGCGCTCTTGCTTGTGGAGCCATCCTCGCTGACACCCAGGATCGACATGAAGTCAAAGAGAGACTCGGTGCCGAGCATGGCGCAAACAAGCTCAGCGGTCCAGTCTGGCGATGCTCCAGGTGCGGTGGGCTCACCATCTGCAGTCGAAGCGCCCTCTGCGGATGATTCGTTGCTGGAAGCAGACTCGAACGAGATGATTTCTGGCGTTTCAGGCTTCGTCACCTTATCAGCAGTGTCACGGCCGAGGCTCGGAGACTGACCAACGTAGGACGAGTGGTCAGTCATCTCCAAAGGAAGCTCGACGAAAGAAGGTGTGAGAGTAAGCCATTCCTGACGACCGGGAGTTACTGCGGACCTCTTAATACCAGATTGCGGTGTCGTCGTCGGCGGTGCAGTCAAGGTAAGCCACTGCTGAGATGTGCGCAGAGGAGGCGGGTGGTCATTAGCTTTCACTGACGCCACCAAGGGCGAGGTGTCAGCCACGTCTCGAACGTGAACGACTGGACCTGCCTGCTGGCTTGAGTCTGCCTCTTTATTCGAGTCAGGATCTTCTGGACAGACAGCCGTGGTGTCATCGCTGCCTTCGAGTAAGAGGACTTGATCCTTGACAGGTGACGCTGCAAACTCAAAGTCCGAGTCTTGCTCGTCTCGCGCCTCGCCATAGTACAGTGGCTCGGACGTGCTGACCGAGGAAACCTGACCGTGCTCAGATAAAGGTGTACCCACGGTCTCGTCTTCGGCAGTCTCGGTCTCTTCCTCGCCATCACCAATGGCATCCTTACATGTGATTTCGAGTTCCGCGACGAGGTCAATGTCCTGTATAGAAATGTGGAGACCGTCGAGTATGGCAACCGCTGCAGTACAGCTGCGCTGTGAGTCAGCGTTGGAAGCCGTGATTCCAGTCGCCTGACCAAACGCAACAAGCTTTAGAGTGAGTGCGTCCGTCGATCGATCAAGGGCTGTGGCGTAGACATTGGGGTAGTTTGTCTGCAGTTCCTCGACATCAACGCTTCGGACTACCGCTGAGTCGATGGATGCTTCATTTCCGTCTTCCGCATCATTCTCGAAGATCTCGGTCCCAGCACCCGTGAAGACCGATTCTTCTCCACCTAGAGTCTTGGTATGAGAGACTGAAGTCCAGAATGCCATTGCAAGGTCGAAGCGAGTCCGCTCTTCAGGGCCTGGGGGCACATCAGAGACGACTGGCGCAAGGGATGCAGGCTCAGGGGCAATCCTAGGCGCCTCAAATGCAAACGTTGAAGTTGAATCCGTCGTGGAACTCAGGATAGGTATCGGCTTGACAATAGGGCCTGCACTCGGCGGCATGTTGAACAAACCTGGCATCTTCCAGTCCAGCTTCGATAAAGGGGTATACTGCGGCTCAGCGAACGCAAAGTCCCCGCTAAACCTGTCCAAAGACTGCAACCTCAACTCAGAGCTGGTAAGGGATTGCGGAGACACCAGCTCGTGTAAGTCGAGATCCCCGGAAGGGAGTTTGATGATACTGTGGAGCGCCTCGAAGGTGCCGTCGTCAACCGTCTGCTCGCTTGTGGAAGTGAAGTGTGATTCTGGGACCTGGGTCGCGTCGACTGGCGCCAGCTTCTTCTCGGCCTTAGTTGCGGTATCTCGAAGGGGCACACGATGGGCCTTCTTCTTGCGCGCGAGAGACTTCTGGAAACTGTTGCCATCGATGATGACGACGCCCTTTTCACAAGCCGCGTCTGGCAGCTTTCGCACATTCGGGTTGACAACTGGTGGAGGTGTCAGGAAAGGGGACAGCTCAAGCTTTCAAAGCCGCGTACCTTGGAGAAGGGCGTTGGGCACGACGACTTTGCGCGGTTGCGACTTGTGCACCGACGAATTGCGCGGGTTGCTTGCATCAGGCACGGATGGCAATGTGATAGCTACAAGTTTGTCAGTCATACGGCAAGCCAAGCCAAGTGTCAGCCAACGTACACTCCGTGGCCTTCATTGCCTCCTTCTGCTCGGCCCCCTTCTTCTGCGCCTCGCGGAACGCATCTGTCTCGATGATAGCCTGCTTGTGGAGAGACTGCTTTCGTTTGGAAGGCATGTTTTAACGATGCTAATAGAGGATGAATAGGTGTTTTTGTAGACAGATTAGGCGTGCTGACGCGTAAGAGATATCGAAAAGTGAAAACAATGATGGGGTTGTTCAGATGAACAAGCTGTGGGTGGAGAAGGCCTTTGAGTGGGTTAGCTGCGTTTATATTGCACTAGGTCCGGCCATGATCCGTGCACGGCTTTGCGCAAGTGAAGTGCAGCGCACGTGTTTGACACTGTAAGAACTCAAGTTATCGGACAAGACATTTTATGGGTCTATCTTAGAAAGTTTTCTCTATGCTCTAGAGTCGATCACGTGCTGGTGCTACTTATGAGACAGCATTGACTCCGGAGCGATGTATTGACGTCGACAAGTGCCGATAAATTGTGGAAATTACATCTATGTTTTCAGCATGACGCCAAAGTATATTTTCGATGAACACCTGCTAAAGGAACCATGAGCTCATGCCGGGCAGACGATGCGGGTGCGTTTGTGCTAGCGCAACCCCCCAGGTCAGCTTGACTCGTGTGATCACGGTCAAGATATGGGCGCAACGGTGCAGGTACTGCATCTTCCAACCTTCCAAGTATATAGCGCCTTCACGCTCTGCTTTCGATGCATTCTATGAAGCTACTGCAAGTTTCTGATCTCTGGATTGATGGCTCCACGGCGCATGCGAGCTTGGAGTCGAGTCAGCGGACCGTGGGACCTGGGTCTTTCGTTGTACTGCATCGTAACTGCGACGAGGTTGTTATAGTGGAGGACTAGGTCAGCTACCGGTGCCTGATGTTCTGTCGTACCCAGATCGCGAATGGTAGATGGGGAGGTGATGTTCCGTCTGAACAGGATTCTGCGCGCCGCTGATTGAGGCATAGCAGCTGAGTTTCCAAAGAACTCGGATCTCAAATTTGGCCCAGAGACGTGCGTCGTCAGGCTAACATTATCTGTCCGGCCGGTAGAGAATGTTTCTACAACAGTTGCGTTAAGCTGTCTCTGGATTACCCCAGAGAGTCGATTGGCTGATCTGTTGGTGATGCTGGTGGGCGTATTCAGGTGCCAAAGCTTCTTGCGGCAGTATGGACAGGTATCCTTCCCCTCTCGAGACCATCTTCTCATACACGACCTGCAAAAGTGCCTGTGACCGCATTCCAGTTCTATGCGTGTCCTGTCAGGTATTCGGTGTGCGAATGGGCGGTAACAGATAAGACAATCGTCCGGAAGGTCTGGGTTTGTTGCGTGAAGGAATGGATCATCGTAGATCAAATTTGCAAGCCATTCTGAGCGCGTATGCAGATCATTACTCCGCTCTACTTTTCTTCGTGCGCCAGCGAGCCAGCGTGTGAACGAAGTGGCGGACATTTGGCGAGAATTAGAGGTGGCTTCTTCGCAGGAGGCAGCAGTGTGGGTGTTATCGGTTCGCACGGCGCAAGCAGAGGATGGAGCCAGTATGTGTTTGTGTGTATGTGCAGAGCCTATCGCCTAATGTGCTTCTCGGGCCCTGTTGGGGTCAGATGTGCTGTTTATTGGGTCGCGTCGCTGTTGAGCCACGGTCGCTGCATCACTAAGGGCCCCTGGGCGACGCACAGTAATGGGGGTCCATCGATTACGATGCAATTATAGCAAGCTCGATACTGAATCATATCTGTGAGAAAATGAACAGTACCCTTGTCTTATTGCGCCTACTCACTCACTGCGTGCTCACACATGTAGGTAGAGAATATGTGAGCGGTTCAGTGTCTGCACCAAGAGCTGCAAAAAGCACATGAGCCAAAAGTTGATGAGTTCTGCACTGTGCACCTGTGACTGTATTACACGTTAGAGACCCCAGAGAGTTGCCGTGCGGATGCTCGCGCGTGTCGTTGCTTCAGGTACGTCACGATTGTGCGATCTCGTCTAGTACGCCGAGTTTCACAATCAGATTCAACGAGCCCTCTCTGTTTTTCTCGATCATTGCAAAGTTTAGAGTTATATCCGTTGTGTTTGCTTAGTATTTCAGTGTGACAGATATACTTTCCAAAGATGGCAATAAGAGAGTCAAATGTAGACTCATGTAAGGTGTCGCAGGCCAAGCGCTGTCGTGAACCTGAACTCTATTACAAATCGTGCCGTGCGAGGGCCTACATATAAGCTGCGCTATGATGCCAGAACAA